TATATATATATAAATATGTATACACACATATTTTTTATGTTTATAGCGGCTAGAGTAGCACCAGTACATACGGCAACATGCACAGGCCAGGCCAGGCCAGACCATGGCCTACCGTACCCTACAATGCCACCATATACAGCACACCAGACCACGCCATGCCGGGGCGTACAATGTATGCATGCAGGTGCAGGTGCATGCATGTCGGGGTGGATATACGTGCATGCATCGAGATGCCTCCATGACACCCCCAAATACCAGTATTCGAGACCAAAACGGCTCTGTGAAAGAGAGCCCAACGATCAAAGATTCAGGACCTTGTGGATGTATCCTCCCTGAACCCTAAGGCTGGAGAGTTTTCCACGATCAACTTACTTCAGTTCTGCAAAACCCAGCTTGTCCAACAGCCTGGTAAGACCTGGGGGCCTGACCATGGCCTTAAACCCACAAAGCCGGAGCTGCACCCTAAACCCACGGTTTAGGGTTTNNAGGGTTTTAGGGTTTAGGGTTTGCTCCAATCAAGCCTGTGTAAAGGGTTTAGGGCGAACTCCCATCGGTTTTTCTAGGGCAGGCGGCCGCTGTTAATGGCTGGCTGTTGTCGCGAACTTTCAGATCCTGTATTGCAGCGGAATTACAGGGTCTTCCTCAAAGGGTCCCAACTAAGTACCTCAAAAACAGAATGTCGAGTTTCTATACTACCTTCCATTGTAATACCCTCTTAACCCCCTTATAGGGTCCTATTTATGAAATCGGTTAAGCCAAAAGGGGAACTACAATGGAGACTATAGGTAGGAGGTATTATCATGATTCGGGGAAGTATCCTGTAACAGTACCCAGGACCCTTGTGGGTTCCGGCTTTGTACACTCCTGTGCAAGTTTTCGCTGGTCTAGGAGATTGTTCGGAAGCTGGGCAATGAGTGGAAGGCGTGCCGTGACGGTCAACTTGCATCGCCTCGTCTGGCTTTAGCCAAGCTTTTCGCTCAGCCTCTGAAATTCTCTAGTTCCTTTCGAGCGGTAGCTGCCTGTTTTGAAAACCGCTAGTCTCTTTCGAGTAGCTTGCTCTTTGAAAACCTCTAGTTCCTTGCGACCGGTTTGCTCCTTGTTTTGAACATTACTTAGGAGCCCAGTAGGTAAACTTTAAACTTTCTGGTATATTAAACCCCCTACTAAAAGAAAAGTTTTAACTTTTTTGGGCCAGGGTGCTGGGCTTCAAGGACTAAACCCGTTAACCCCAGGCCGGCGACCAGTAGCTGCCTGCAAGTTGTCTTTCCGTAACCGTCTCGGGTTTGATTTGAATCCTCGAACTGGGTCGTGTCATTGGGATCTCTTGGGTCTTTGGGGATTTTTTGGGTGTTTGGAGATCTCTTGGGATTTTTGGGGGGATCTCTTGGGTTTTTTGGGTATCTCTTGGGTTTTTGTTCGCAAGTGTTTGTTCCGGTTTAGGTTGCTGCGCCAGATGTGCTGCCCGGTAACTGGCATGTGGGTGAACTCTTGAAGTCTGGGCGGCGCGGTCGCGGCCTCAACAGGTCTTCGTCTGCTGAATTACTTAGGAGCCCAATAGCTAAACTTTAAACTTCTTTTTGTATATGAAGCCCCTACTAAAAGAAAAGTTTAAACTTTTTTGGGCCAGGGTACTGGGAAGCTAAGATTAAGCTTAAACCCTTCTCGAAACCATTGAGACCCTAACACTAAATCCCTAAACACCTACAAACCCCCAGACCCCCAAACCCTAAACCCCTGAACCCCTAACCCCTGGACCCCAAAGCCCTGAGCCCAGAACCCCCAAACCAGTAAACCCTAAGCCCTAGACCCGAAAAGCCCTGAACCCTGCTTGGACGTTCATGGGCAGTGATAAGTGGGGTTATACGCCTCCCAATATGGGTTATACCTATAGTTACCTTACTTATAACCCCACTTATAACCACCCCTAAACCCTAAACCCTATAGAACCCTTTAAAGGAACCCTTAAAGGAACCCCACTTATAACGACCCATGAACCTCCAAGTAAAGCCCCATCCCTGGGTCCTGGTGAAGGTGGCACCCTTCGGCTCGGCAGAGAACGGTTTCGGCTCGCGTCTTCGCCTTTTTTCGTGGGGTTTATAGGGGCTTACAGGGTTTAGGGTTTATATAGGGTTTAGGGTTTGACTGTTTACAGACTGTTTAGGGCTAAGGTGAGGGTTTAGGGCAAAGTTAAGGGCTTCTGCGCTCTTCTAGGGCTACTATCGGGGTTGCAAAGCGTCAGGGTTCCGTTTAAGGTTTCTTCGCGGGTTCCCTTGTTCTTAAGGTTTCTTGTTCTAGGTCCCATACTGCATGGCACTGTAAGGGCGCTAGAGCGTTCACGGTTCTTAAGGTTTCCGAGCAGGTGTGTTGTATGGATTCTATATATAGCGGCGTTAAAGCATCTAGGTTGTACGACGTCGGGAAATTGGGGTCTAGAAAAAGCGCGTTCGAGGGGATAGGATTGAAGTGTTCAGTGTTCAAGGTCTATAGGGCTGTTGGCATCGTAAGGGCATGGGCTCTTGGTTTAAGGGTTCTGGGCTGAAGCTTTGTAGCATTTGTGGCTTCAGGTTTCGGGTGGTTTTGGGAACCTCGAGAAGATGAAATTCGGATTAAGGATGAACAGAGCCGGGATTCCGTATGCATTACTCTTAAGGATTGAGGCTATGGGGTTTCCAACTTCTGGGCTTCTACTGTAGGTTTGAGGTCAGACCTTAAACCCTAAGCGTAGGGAGAAAAAGGGCGTGGCGCGTGAGCCTTTTGGGCCCCAGAGGCGTCCGGGTTTCTAGGCTTGAGCGATATCGATTGCGGTTCAGTATAGAAGCCTAAATCTTGCCTATATTATTCCTCAGGGTTCCTTATACTTATAGTTTTAGCATAATGGGCTCCAAAACTCTATTCGAATTACTAAGGCCCCCACGTCAGGCTTTCTGTCAGAGGCCCACGAGCTGATGTATTTCTGACACGACACGAAAGGTCTCCGTATGGGAATCAAACCACCAATTTTCCGGGGTTCATGTCTCCTGATGCTACAGGCCAGGCGTAGCAGTTTTGGTATAGACGATAGGACGATAGGGATGAGACTTGTTGGAGTAAGCTCTGATTCATGTCTCCGCATCATCCAAACAGCCCCATCGCACGGTGCGTCGTGAAGTGGTCAGAACATGTTTGAGCATGTCAGGCCTGATACGGCTTAGCCTGCCGGCATGCAACGCAAAGTTGTCGACGTTGTTATATCTCAGCTTCTTTTTGACTGCCCATACCTGTAACTGACAGACAGGCCTTCGGGTCATAGGCGAAAGCCCGCAAAAGCTCCAGATGGTTGAATCGCATGTGTACGGAGTCGCTTACTTACTTTACTAGCATCAGGTTCAGCATGTGGCCCCGTGTAGTCCCACAGGCCGCAAGCGAAACCCTGGACCCCAAACCCTAGACCCTAAACCCTTAACCCTAAACCCTAAACCCCAAACCCTAATCCCAAAAAGCCAGGAAAGGATCTGATCTGGACGTAACCTGCACCTTGATCTGCAATTGCAGTGGACATGCCAAGGGCTGGGAGCTGGGATTAGGGGGACCCTTGGGGATATAGACCCTCTCAATAAGGTCCCTTTTATGAGAGCCAAAAGTAGGGTTCAGAAGGGGTACCCTTTAAGGGGTACCCCTAATAATACTACCTAAGGGCCCTACGTACCTTTATGGGGCATATGCTTATGCAAACCACAAAAGTACCCAGTGGCCCCATTTTTGGGATTCCCTAATAGGATCCTAAATATGAGCCACTATGGGGCCTATGGGTAATTCCTTCAATAACACCCAATCTCTACTTCATTGGTATCTGCGGTGCCTTGCGATGGTAAATGGCAGGTAGATGTAGCCAGGTCTCTTATGCCTGGTCGCCCTTTCAGAGACGGAGGTTGGGTCCAGGGTGTATCGTACATTACACAGCTTTGATTTCCAAACATGCGTATCCTGAGAGACACAAGCCGAAAACTGTGCACAAGGGCACCCCGCTTCGACTTTGAAAGCCCCGAACACATGGACCGGCAGGGAGTTTCGCACGTGCCTGTGAAGTTGTGGAGGCTACCATACCGCGGTCAGCGCGCAGGACAGCCTCCGCGCGGTTCAGGAATTGAAGCTGATACCCGGCTCGAAGGATTTTCTGGTATTCTGGGAGCTTAGCAGGTGTGGCACCTAAAAGGTATATGCCGATCTCTCGAAAATCTGACGCATGGCAGCTCGTGGGCTAATCAGCTGTATTTCTAGAGAGTCTCTTGCATGCTTGCGCCCCAGAGCGAGACCGAGAACTCTCCAAGTAGGCATGCAGCTCAGGTTCTGTGGTTTCACGTTGCTCTGAAACCTCTGGTTGGGTTGTACCCTGTTTTTTTTGGGAGAGACTAGGATCGAGTTGCCTGATATCGGAGTGAACGACTGCATTCTTTCAGCAGCTTCTTGGGCTTCAAGCCGCGACAAAGTCTCCTGGGCCTAGCTTTTTTCCGGGTGATTGTTTGTGGCCATGTCTGTCACGTGCACAGCGACTTGGCCCAGCCTGGGGGGATCTTCGGACTCCCTGTCTCCCCGCCCCAACAGAATCTGGGTCCTTGTTGGATACAATGTTACATTTTTGTTATAATAAAACCCGATAAGGATTAAACATGATCATTTGTATATAGCCCCACCCTAAACCCTAAACCCTAAACCCAAACCCCTAGAACATGATCTTTTTTTATTAGCCCCCACAGGGAACCCCAGGAATCGGCCAGAGCCGCTGCCGCACCTTCGGCCTCGACGGCTTCGATGCGAGCCCTGGAGTTCCGTCTCTTTCTGAGGCCCAGAGGTTTAGGGTTTAGGGTTNNAGGGGTTAGGGGTTAGGGTTTAGGACAAGAGGTACCACCTGGCCGCCACTTGCCGGAGGAGCGGATGCCTCCGCTGCCATCGCTCTGCCTCGTGATGTACTCCGGGTTCTTGGCAACTTTGGCCTTAGACATGGTGGTCACGACGGCCGACGAGTATTCCAAGAGACTTGGGGCAGGGGCGATGTTCAGTGGACTTATCATGGCTTTGACACCACTTCTTCAGGGCTTCGTCGGAGTCCCTCTCAATCGCTGGATGTTGACATCCACGTCTATGAAGACTGTGAGTATTCTCATGGCTGCTGGCATGGTTGTAGGGAACATCATCTATGCTCTTGCGGGGCTCATGCACTCCAAGCAGGCTGTGCTTTTCGCACGTGCCCTCATTGGCATCTGCCAGTTTCAGTTGGGTCCTCCCATCTACATTGCCGAGGCTGTGGGTGTCAAGTGGCGAACGCCGGTGATGTTTGTGTACTCCGCTGTGGCGACCCTGGGGCTGGCGGCGGCTCCCGCTATTTGCGGTTTGCTAGAAACCTTCCTGCATGAGCTGCGCATTCATAACTTGGTGTTGGACTCAGACACAGCCCCCGGCTGGTTCATGGCGATTGTCTACTTCTCCTACTTACTGAAGGTGGTCTTCTTTTTCGAGAACCCAGAGGAATCGCCCTCACAGGAAACCAGCCTGGCCTTTGCAGAATCCCCGGTCGAGAAGCGAGAATCGTTATGGACGACTGGCTTCAATCTATGCCTGTTGGCAGGCTTTGCGAGCACCATGACAAACATCGGCTGCATAGTCTATTTCACGCAACTTTCTCAGCACACTTGGCACTGGAACTTGGCCCTTAGCTCGTGGGGTCTTGCAGGGATCATGGCAGTCGTGTGCATTTTGTCGCTGGGAAGCAGCCGGCTTGTGAAACTCGTGGAAGACAGGAAGGGCCTCCAGCTGAGCTCATTATCAACTGCCATTTGCTCCGTACTTGCCTTCCAGTTCATGCCGAGCTGGTCCGTGGCAACGATTGCTCTGACTTTTGCTGGTTTGTTGCTCATCCTGACTGCGAGCAGTGTCGTGAAGAACTATGCGTATGCGCTGACACCGAAGATCGTGCCACCACACTTGAAGGATCGAGCCGCATCGTGGCTCATGCTGGCGCTGACCTTGGGTCGAGGTGTCGGNNACCATGCTGAGCACATACCTTTTGCTGTTTGCTCTTGTTTCTGTTTTCCGATCCCGAATGAAGCAGCATGCCAAGGCGGTCTAGGGCTGTCTTGGAAAGTACTTCTTCTGCCATAGTGACGACAGCGGCTGTTAATTACATGCTGCCATAGGTTCAAAGTGCAATCAGACTCAGCCAACCATGTCAGAAGAATCCACCAGAAAGTTGCAAACTGGGTGCCTGGGTCCTTGTTGACTACCTCTTTTGGGGATCCATGAAGGGCCCGAATTTGGAGAACTTCCCATTTGGAATGAAATCTCGGAATTGCGTGGCCGGAGTGGCAAGTCAGCTCAATGTGGGAAGCAGCAATGGAGCTGCATGGACATGCACAGAGGTCCTACTGTCCTGCGTGTGAGCTGAGATTGTACAGTGCTCATGTAGCATCACCGCCAGAAGAGCCTAGCCGCGCATGACCAAAGCCTCGTAGCTTCCTGCATACAAACTGCATAACGCAACCGTCTCTGAATGAAGCCCAGTCTCGAGAACAACTAGGATCAAGCTGCCACCATTTTTTGGCATGACAGCTCATGAAACTCTTGCAACAAGCCATGATGGAAGGAGAGGAGGTTCCAAACCCTCATCGAAGAAAAGTTCTCAACGGCCAAACATCGAAAACAAAGATTGCTACTCTCGACAGCAGGTGAAGAAACTTATATAATCCCTCAATATACGAAGGCCTCATCACCTCAACCCAAAGGCAAGAAAAGAACCCTAAACCCAACGCCCGATACCATATCATATGTATACACATGCATACTTACATACCTACCATCCATACACATATGGATGTACATTCACATATACACATCTACATGTACATATACATACTCACGCACACACACACACACACACNNCCCCCCCCCCCCCCCCCAACGCCCCCGCTGAAAAGCCCCACTCATCAGTTGTTTTGATGCCACGTGACCTGACCCTACTTCCGGTTTAGCCCGCAAATGCACCAAGGTTGCATCATATCATAGAAGTCTTCATACTTGGCAATCGAAAGTTCTCGTAAAGTCCCTATATAGTTAGAGACACTGTGTACTAAAATCCGGAAAAGCCGATAGAAACACAGAAAGTAACCCTGCTGTAATTAAGGCACAAGTTATCGTCAGCACCTCCGTAACCTTAACCGTCAAGCTTACCAAGGTTCTCAACATCCCACTATAGAGGTCTGAATCTGTAATAGAAAACTTTTCCCCGATAGCTCCTAAAAGCCTGATACCCCACGAATCATCCGTTAAGCACCTACGACCTCACAAATTTAGCGTAAAGGAACCATATTCGGATTGCCAAGGCTCTAAATTCATTTCTTTGTTTTGTTTTGTAAAGGTTCCTGTAGATGCCGACTCGGGCGAACTTGAACTGATAGTAGAAGGATCTGAATACTCATCATAATGCTATAAGAAATAGCAAGATCTGGGTATAAGATAACATAAGTATATTGAGCCACTATCGCCATGTGTTTGTCCTGCCCCTAAATTAGATTCCATCTCCAGGCTTTGTACTTCATAGGTGCCTAGCGAGCGCCCCCTCAACCATAAGCCGTAGGATTTAGGGTTTAGGGTGTGTAGACATGGTAACCCTCCCCCTCAAAGCTTGGCCACTGTTTCCTTCAGGACCCGATAGATTGTCACAATTCCCTTACGGTCATGGACCCATAATCGTTTTGGTAGCACTTTAGACGACGCCAACATGTAGGCATTCATCCAAATCTTAAAATGAGAGCTTTAGCACTCAGCTAGACTACGAGATCAGCCGTAAATCCGAAATTGAGCATACTGCCCTGAAAGGCCTAACTGAATGCTTGCAACTTATACTGAGGACTATAACAGTAAAAGGCCTCAGTCATTTGACATCGCTAAGTCTAGTCCTCAACCTAAAGCCACTGTCTCTAAACTGGGAGCGTAAGGAAGATAACTTCTTGCACCGTAACAAAGACCCCTAGCAGCAGCTTCTAAATTCCCTTCTAAGGATCCGGGGCTTGAGAGTTAGTTCGCGGACATGGTACCCAGAGACTCCCTTATCCCTTAATTAAGGTATATACCTTAAACTATAGTAGGATCCCTAATATGATTTAAGGTATATTCCTTGATTAAGGGGTATTGGAGTCTCTGGGTATAATAGGGCTCAGGATCTGCAGCAGCGTTATTTACCGGCTTAGTAGGACTACGTAACAACATGAGTTGTGAGAATACATTCTGAAAGATAACGATAGAGAACTACGAATAGCAATGATGATGAATTACGACTACCCATAGGCCCTAAAGTAGTTCCTTTTTGGGTTCATATATATATATATAATCCTATAAGGTAACCCAAAAAGGAACTACTATGGGGCCTATGGGTAATTACGACTAATTCCAATGCGAATCACCAGGCTCGTATTGAGTAACACAGGCCATGAGCCAATCATGAGTTTATTGAGAGACGACCCATAGGCCCCATAGTAGTTCCTTTTTGGGGTTACCTTATAGGATTCTATATATGAACTCCAAAAAGGAACTACTTTAGGGCCTATGGGTATATTCACTAGATGACCCTGGTCCTGAAAGGGTCGTGTCTCTGGATACCTGGCCCGACGTAGGCGCGACTGTCCCCGTGGCTGTGCACGGCGGGCTAGCGTACAAAATTTCAGGCTCCAAGAACCAAGGTTCGGAATAGTTCTGGCGCATCTTGGTGCCCATGCTTGGGTCCATGTTAATTAACATGGTTAATTACCACGGGACCAAGAACCAAGAACCACGATTCCCGGAAAAGTTGTGTGGCGAATCTTGGTACCCGGGCTTGGGCCCGTGTTAAGTAAGCCGGACCGTGTTGACTAACACAGACCCGACGAACCAAGAACCAAGATCCTGGAACAGTTTTCTGGCGATGTGATATTGCGGGCTAGGAACATTTGGACAAGGGTGAGTTTATAGGTGGGGTGGGGTGGGGCGTACCATTATATATATATATATACATACACTATATATATATATATATATATATCACTTATGTATATAGATCGATAGATAGATATGTGTGTGTGTGTGTGTTTGTATGCACGCCCACATGCATGCATGCATGCATGCATTCATGTCTGTGTGTCTGTATGTATGTGACATACATACATACATACATACATACATCCATACATCCATACATCCATACATCCATACCATACATACATGCATACATACATACATACATGCATACATGCCCCAGGTCGTGGATAAATGCTAAATGTGAGGCTTCTCACACCCAAACCATCAGCCCTAGGCGAGCTAGGCAGCAAGAACAAGCACTCATTCTAAGGACACCCAAAACCCTCTTGCACGAGTTTGAGAGTCCACACCATCCTGAACCCTCGGCGCCCTATTTTACGGAGCTTGGACCCACTAGACCCTAAACCCTAAACCCGGTTCTAAGGAGCTTGGCCCCGCTGATTCAGAACGAGCCACGCTTTCGGATGATCGAGGTGCCTTGGGCCTTCTCAAAGCAGTCAGAAGGTTTCGATATGAAGCGGCTTGTCACAGGGCTTTGTCATGTTTTATCCGGTTTAAAGTCTAGGTCCGGCTTCGTCTGGACTTATCGGTTTTTCAGTGGGAGTCTGTTCAAGGTTCCAAGGGTTGAACAGGGTAATTAGGTTTTAGGTCGGGGCTTTATAGAGCTTCAGATTGAGTATTGCTTAGGGCTTTGAAGGGTTCGCTACGGGCATTGCGGCCTTCAGGGGTCTACAGGGTTTGCTTCGGGGCTCAGGGTTTAGCGCTCGCAGGGTTTAGGCTGATTTTAGCACCCGTGTTCCAAGCATTATCATTTTTCGGATATTGGGCAAGAACGACAAAGGCGTGGCTTGGAGGGTCCTGTAACAAATGCCAGTTAGAATCAGCAACCACGCGCAGAAATATCTAACTTGCCTTGATTCCCTGTACCAGAAAGTGCAGAGCTTTTGCCGTATACTGCTCCTGTCACATGGCATGTTCGGCGATTCTGAATCGTTCACACTTAGAGGCTTGATTTACGACACTCCCTTCACGGTCCTTGCTGCAATGGCTCAATAGATGTACATGCCATGAGCATATGGACTGCCGGCTGAACCGTTGTTTTGGGTTTAGTGCTGTAGGGTTTTAGGGTCTTCGGTGCGGACTCGAGCTGATAACTAATAACCTGAGAACCCGGCAACACCTCAGGACACCTGGATGCAAAGGGTTTAGGGTCAGGGGTTCAGGGCTTACAGTTTGGGTTTCAGGGTGTAAAGTTTAGCTCTCCATTGCTACGGTCTTCGCGGAAGAAACTCATAGATCTTGAGCGCTTTCCACACATAGGAAGCCAACCTAAGTGAAGCACTCGAACCATAGGGGCCCTGATAATTAGAATAGGGTTTTGGGGCCCATTATACTATAAATACTTTGGAGCCCCCAAAATAGTACTGGTAATCCCCTACCCTGGGAATCGGTTATTTGATCCTAATCAATATTGCTGAGCGTATATTGATTTTGGTGTCAAATCAATTATTTATTCTATGGTTCGAGGCGCCTCAGAGTGAGCCTCAAACTCAATATCAAATTATACTTATTTTCGCCATCAAATCAATATATGTCCATGGTTTATGAAGCCGTCAAATCAATATAAACTCAGTTCTGCTTAACTCTGCTTAACTCTGATTAATTCTGATTAATTCTGATTAACACTGATTAACTCTGATTAATTCTGATTAACTCTGATTAACACTGATTAACCTCTAATTAACTCTGATTAACTCTGATCAAACGGGCGTTTGATCAGAGACAATGATATGTTCAAACGAAATCGAAATCAATACCCAAATCAATATCCAAATCAGTTTTTTTAAATCAACAGAAAAATCGATTTGAAACCAATATGGAGACCAATAAGTCGATCAATACGAGACCCATTGATTTAATCAATAAAAAGCAAACAAATCAATATCAATGTAAAACATATGCGTTCTATTGATTAGGATCAATATCCGATTCCCAGGGTATATTACCTCAGCCGGAGGAAGTGTGGTCGGCACGGGTACCTATCCTCAAGCTGCAATGGGATGGCCATCTGGATGTGGAAGCTCAGACGGCAG